TATATATACATATATATATATATATAATATATATATATACACACACTTTCGGATATATATATATGTATATATATGTATACGTATTAACATCATAATATTTGAAATTATCGGTCGATATGTAACGTAAGTATAATTATGACTAAGTATAATTCATGCACACATTACATAAGGGTTGATTCTTTTTGATAAGTTATCTACGATCATAACACAGAGAGAAACAATGCCATCTTATCTGCAATATAAATCATCGGATGCATGTGATATCGCAACAACGTTGCAAGGTTTGAACAAATTTTTAATAAATTGCAACATCGCACTAATAACCGAAATATCACTTGTCGCCGCTACATCGAGGGAGTGTGTCGTCGACGATAAAACAATGCGCCTCGGACGAAATTGATCCGGATTGATGTCTTTTTTCTTTCGCTTTTCTTTCTCTGTTTTCTCCCAAAGCGCTTCGTTTTTCCGCGACAACTTTCGACTACCGCTCCCATTTCGCTGTATAACCGATCAGTTTTTATACAAATATATACAAAAGGAGCCATCCGCGTCTAGGAATGATATTCCTCCTTGCGCTCGAGAATCGCGGATCGATAGTCGCGCGCAAAAAGATGTCTCCCGAGTGCGTCCAGCGAGAGTGTTATGTCTCTGCCTGCCTTCTTGTTTCTCTTCACTTTTTGTTTTATTTTTTAGACATAGCGAGTATGTGGTTCCTATTTTGACGGGCTTGCCTTTTTCATCGGTGAAAATGAAAAACCAAAAGGCCCAAGACTTAAGGTCTAGCGCATAAAACTAAAAGCGAAAGTGGACGTTGTTGTACAGTCGAACATTATCATATTGTACAATCCGCTTTGTTTTTTTTTTTTTTTTGCTACTAACTGGATGGAGCGCGATTTGCTCGCGAAGTGCCTCGTGTGATTTCTGTGATTTGTTGTTTTTCTCATCTCCGAGAATCGAATTGGCGCGAACTTGCAAAAGAGCGCGTAACGAGAAAACGCAACGTCGTAACTTCTCGCGGACAAGAAATCAGAAAAAAAAAAGAAAAAGAAGGAGACACGTTGCGTGTTGTGTGTCTACGCGTTATAAACAAGATCTCCCGGAGATATGGCGGCATACAACTTTGTTCGCAGAAATACAAAAAGAAAGAGAAAGAGGAAAGAAGAAAGAAATAAAGAGAAAAAAAGTTATAATAATTTAATAAGATAAAACGCAAGAAAAAAACAAACGATTGTAGTCTTTTTTTTGTACACTTAAAAATCGTTCCTTTAGTCGTACGCTTTATTAAGAATGTACGTATGTACACATATACACAAATGTACAGAAAACCCATGCGATGGGTTTAAATGTCCGCCGTAATATGTTATTGTTATTATTATTATTATATAATACAACGAGCGCGAACTAGGTAGAAAGAGTA